GTCCCACATATACGAAGGATGGAAGAAAGCGGATAGCTCCTCTCTTAGTGTCTGGAGCTGGCGCTGCCGAATCATCCCTCCCCCAGTCTCGATTAATGGCATCAGTCAGCAGTCAAGTCAAGGCTGATACCCCGCAATCGATTCTCGATCTCTCGAAGCCTTTCGACGGGCTACCCAAGGGCGGGCTCCCAGCGATGATTCTCGGAAACAAGCGCAAGCTCGCTCAGCTTGAGGGTGACGATGATGGGCATATCGAGAAGCGTGTGGCTCTGGCGAGCCAGAATGGGGCAACCCCAATTCTTGCCCACACGCCTGACGGCCTGCTACCTGCGCAGTCCCAGCCTGCACCAGAAGGCCCGCAACAAACACCAGAGTATATACGGCCTGCCGTCACGAATCCTTGCATGGCCATTAGCCAGCTCCGGCTGGCTGTTCCCAAAATTCGAAGTCACATCCTACGGGCTATCGACCCTACAGGCAAACCCACGGAGCCTCCGGGCACATCCAGCGAGTCTAGCAAATCCCGAGTTGATGTTATCTTCGAAGCCCGCAACCCGTCCCCGGCAAGCTTGACTGGACGGGTTGTTGACCGAGAACCCGTTCGTCTCACCTTGTTCCGTGGTGAGCAGCCGTTGTGGCAGGATTACCTCCCGCGCCCTGTTTTGCTGGTGACAGGTAATCAGAGCATGTGGGCTGCAGCCTGTGAGGAGGGGTCTGTGTACATCTGGACTCCAGCTGGACGTCGCTTAGTCAGTGCGCTGGTGCTGGAAGCACAACCAGTGATTCTCGAGTGTAATGGTCCATGGATTCTCTGCATCACAGCTGTGGGGATGTGCTACGTCTGGAATGTGAAGCACCTCTCCTCGCCCCATCCGCCCATCTCCCTTCAGCCGGTGCTCGATGCGGCCATTCACACCTTGGGTGCTCAGCCTACGACGGCTCCCGCAATCACCAATGCTCGAATCAACTCCGAAGGCCGGATAGTGGTCGCATTGACGAATGGTGAAGGGTACTCCTATTCCCCGTCCATGTACACATGGCAGCGGATCTCCGAGAGCTGGTGGGCCGTCGGCAGCCAGTATTGGAACACCACGGATGCACCTGTGGGCAACCTTCAAGCGGCCGATGCGCAGCAGGATAAGGCGGCCAAGGCAGCAGTGTCCGCCGGTATTGTACCGTTCTTGGAACGCAATACAACCAACGAGACGTTGCTGCGGGGTCGTGCGTACTTCCTGCAGCGCTTGATCAAGGTCCTACTTTCACGCGAGGGCTACGAAAGCTTCGAGTCCAGCGTATCAATCGCTCACTTGGAGAATCGCGTGGCTGCCGCTCTCTCCCTGGGGGCCAAGGATGAATTCCGTCTCTACCTCTCGATGTACGCCAAGCGCTTAGGCGCGGAAGGGCTGAAGATGAAGGTGGAGGAGCTCCTTAAAGGCCTGATCGGTGGCCTGTTTGAGGAGGATGACACGGGTAGCGTTCGTCGTCTGCAGGACAATGAGCAAGAAGATCGAAATTGGCGCGAGAGCTCCGAGACGCTCTGTGGCTGGCCACGGGAAGTGTTGCTCAAGGAAGTGATATTGTCGCTCGGTAGGTTCTGGCCTCTGTACTACGTTTCTTGTTCCTTGCTTGCTAACCAGGTTACTTTCTAGGCAAACATCGGGATCTCCAGCGGGTGACGGTACCATATGCGAAACTGCTGGGGATGGTGGACAACGAATCGGAAGTGGGTGATGCCATGGAGACGTAAACCTCTTTCCTTGCAGCAGCTTCAAACCGATGATCTGCGTTTGGCGTTCTGTTGGCGTTGCGTAGTGAAATTCACTCCATACCGGTCGGGGACGGATGGATGTATGCATGCATGGGAATGAGGGGGGGATTTGTGGCCTTTTTCTTTTCAAGCGTCATCGGATGGCACTTGCGACGCACTTGCAATATTATGTACTATATTTGAAGTTAATCTTGACCATGGTCGGAGGTGTTTATTGCAATTCGCTTCAGCGACAGCGACAGCTACAGCTCCTCGTTATGTGCTATAAAGGACTAGTTAGAGTCATGGGAACGACATTACGTGATGATAACTACAGAGCTTGCAGGGCTGGCGAGTCATGTGGGCGGTGAGGGGCGACGAAAAAGAAGTGGGCGTCTCTCCACCGCACACAACCTGAGAAGCAAGCGTCATACTGCTCAAGGTTTCCAGTTTGTTGCTTTGTTGCTTTTGCTGCTTGACCACTCATCTTCAATTGGGAACCAATTGGGCCTGTAAAATATCTTTTCCAGTTCTACTCATAAACCCAACCCATCACTTCGCAATTTCTGCCCACAGCTTTGCTGGTGGGCATCGTCATCACGTCTCCTTCACAGCCGGGCCACCTGCTGTTACTTTCATTCCGCTTCCATCGCTCCGCAGCTGGTCCTGCTTTGGCCTCGCGCCTGATCCAATCTCAATCTCTCTTCCTTAACCCCTCCTCCTCTTCCTCCTCTTCTACCTCTGCTTTCTCCCCCTCCTTCTCCTCCCCGCTCTCCTTCCTCTCCCGCCGGTCCTATTCCAGCAAGAAGAAGAAATCCTCCAAAATGCCCCCCAAGAAGGCTGTCGTGCAAGAGAAGGTCCTTCTGGGCCGCCCAGGAAATAACCTGAAGAGTGGTATCGTATGTGAGCATTGACCCCACCGACTAATTTTCCTTTCTGCTTTTTCCCAAATCTTTTTTGACCCTGCCCGTTCTGCTGCCCCTCCCAGCCTTCCGAATTTTTTATCCGTTCCCCTTGCTTACCCTATTTAACCTCGCTTCCCCTGCATGAAAAAATTTCTTCCTTTCTTTTTCCCCTTCAACACCATAATTCCCACACAATCCTTTGTAGGAATTAAAGGAACACAAGATGGTTTAACATCTTTCTAGGTTGGTCTCGCCAACGTCGGCAAGTCCACTCTCTTCCAGGCTATCACGAAGTCTACGCTGGGTAACCCCGCCAACTTCCCCTATGCCACCATCGACCCCGAGGAAGCTCGTGTCATTGTCCCCGATGACCGCTTCGACTGGCTGTGCGAGCACTACAAGCCCAAGTCTGTGGTGCCTGCCAACTTGACCGTGTATGACATCGCCGGTCTGACCCGCGGTGCCTCCACTGGTGCTGGTCTTGGTAACTCGTTCTTGTCTCACATCCGTGCCGTCGATGCCATCTTCCAGGTCGTTCGTTGCTTCGACGATGCTGAGATCATCCACGTCGAGGGTGACGTCGATCCCGTTCGTGACTTGAACATCATCAGCGAGGAGCTGCGCGTCAAGGATATCGAGTTCGTCGAGAAGGCGCTCGACGCTCTCCAGAAGCAGACCAAGCGTGGTGGTCAGACTCTGGAGATGAAGAAGCTGCGCGAGGAGGAGGGCACTGTTGCCAAGGTCCTCGAGTGGCTGCGCGAGGGCAAGGATGTCCGCAAGGGTGAATGGGGCCCTAAGGAGGTACGTTTTTCATTCTCCCCTCCTTTTTGCACTTTTTTTATCAGCCCTCCTACCCCACTATTATGATGAATAAGAGCATCGCTCGAATATAACCCAGCTCGTCGAGTGGCCTCATTTTATTTACAACGCAGAGGCCACATTGAGAGAAAATCCTATCTGATATTTTACTTTCCATCCATCGCTCTTCATACCGAATGTCGCCCGATGGAAATAGAGTGCTAATCAGTGTCGCTCCATAGGTCGAGACTATCAACCCTCTCATGTTGTTGACGGCTAAGCCCGTTGTCTACCTCGTCAACCTGAGCGAGAAGGACTACATCCGCCAGAAGAACAAGTACCTGCCCAAGGTGTTCGAGTGGATCAAGACCAACTCCACCGGTGACCCCCTGATCCCCATCTCCGTCTCCTTCGAGGAGCGCCTGACCCGGTTCGAGGACGATGCCGCCGCCCTCGAGGAGTGCAAGAGCCTGAACACCAAGTCCGCTCTGCCCAAGGTGATCACCACCATGCGTCAGTCGTTGAACTTGGCCAGCTTCTTTACCACTGGTACCGACGAGGTCCGTCAATGGACCATCCGCAAGGGTATCAAGGCCCCTGCCGCGGCCGGTGTCATCCACACCGACTTCGAGAAGACTTTCATCCAGGCCATCGTGTACAACTACGCTACCCTGCGTGAGTACGGCGACGAAGGCGCCGTCAAGGCCGCCGGTAAGATCATGACCAAGGGCAAGGATTACGTCGTCGAGGACGGCGATATCCTGTTGATCAAGGCCGGTGCTGCTCGCAGCTAGATGTAGTTCTCGGTGAAAATGACTTGTAGCAATATCAAAATGAAATTGTTATGAATTATCAACTGAGTGTCCGAGTAACTCTGTATGTAGGAAAGGTGCTGCTAGTGTCAGTCTGCTACAAGTACTGCATCAAACGCTATATCTGACAGGTTTTGTAGCGCATCCGCTTCAGGAACTACTCACGTAAGGTCCTACACGGCTCTAGACGCGGTTTTGTACGCGATGCTGGTTGCGTCACTGGCTAGTGGTAGAACTATCTGCGGTCTTTCCTATACAGTATAACCAATTACCTTCTGCATTGTTGCGTTGAAACTGTCGCAATTTGTTTGGTACAGCCAATTTGTCTTTCGTCCTCGCCTTTCGTATGATGACCTCTGACTCAACCCTTGACGAATCTACGCATCATAATCCAATCGAAGGTACAATCAACAAAGATGATGGGGGTACAACGAGCTGGGAGGGACAAGGTAGCTCATTCATGCACCAAAGCACCACAGTCGTAGCCTAGATTGCACGGGCCAATATAAAGCAACAGGAACAACGGGAAGCCTACCGAAAGAAGCTTCCAATCAGTAGACCAGTTATAATTGCAAAATGTCCATCGACGTGCTTGTCGAGTTGGAAACAGAGGATGCGAAAGAGAGAGAGTGTGTGTGTATGAAGCACGTGACCCGTCGCCTTCCCCGCAACGCCCATCTGCAGATAATGCCATCCGCCGCCGCGATCCCAACAACAGGTTCCGGTAATCCACAGCATCAGACACCATGTTCAAGAAAGAGTGAGTCGTTCTGCAGTTGGGAGAGAGATATGATCTCCCTACAATGATCTCAGTTCTCAACATTGATTCCCCCGCATCCACCAATACCATGAAAGAAATACTTCCTCAAGGGAAATCATTCTTACCCCGCCTACCTACCTACCTACCTACCTACCTTTTCCCCAACTACCTACAAGCTCACTGAACTTCCGATCTCTCCCTAGCACCCTTTCCATTCTCCACTGTGTAAAACTTCCAAGCTAATTGATAATTCGGTAATGTGACAGAATCCCCCCGAGCAACCGCTCGAAAGTCAAATCCAGCGTGCAGCGCGCCCTGCGCCAACGCTTCCTGGAGACCTACCCGGGCTTCGAGCCGTACATCGAGGAGGTCCTGCCCAAGAAAGCCCAGCTGGATGCCGTGAAGCTGTACGCCGCCCTGCACTCCCCTGCCCTGTTCTCAACCCCTCAACCCCTCAACCCCTCAGCCCCCGGCCAGCATCACCCCGTTGCGACCTGGGGCGGGGGCTTCTCACTCCAATCCCATACTAATAAACAAAAAAAAAGCCCCGAAAGAGCCACCCTCTACAGCATCGACTCCACCCCGCTCTTCTTCCAACCGCTCGACGGCCCGCCGATCCCGCATCTGAAGCTTCTGCACGCCTACCCGGACGCTCTGCCGACGGTGCAGATCGATCGCGGCGCCATCCGGTTCGTGCTCTCGGGCGCGGCGCTCATGGCGCCGGGTTTGACTTCCGCGGGCGGGAAATTGCCGGACACCGAGCATGCGGTGGAGGCTGGGCAGGTGGTCGCGGTTAAGGCCGAGGGCAAGGAGACGGTTTGTCTGGTCGGGGTGTTGAAGGTTGGCACGGAGGAGATTAAGGCGAAGGGGAAGGGGGTCGTTTTGGATGAGGGGCATTATCTTGGGGATGGGCTTTGGAGGATGGTTTTGGATTAGATTTCTTTTTTTTTTTTTCTTTCTTTCTCTGATGGGATGAGAGGGGTTGGAGGGGGGGGAATGCGGGGATTAGAGGGTTTGGTTGGGTTCTGTTTATGTTGAAGATGAGTGCACGCTTTACTCTTGATACCATTGCTTTGCAGCTGAATGGATGCATTGGATTTCTCTGTTCCTGGGTTTATGTTCGGTGATTGAGGGAGGGATAGGCTCGTATATACATATTCTCGGAGATTCTAATTTTACTCCAGTTCGGGAGGCCGCGGGGACAGCGGCGATGTCGGCGATAGCGAGGACCACGACGGCGTCCGCATTGCCAGTCCCAACCCCTTCACACTCGTGCTGGACCCGTTCATCCCCATCCCCATCCCCATTCCCGCTCCGGGCAGCTGGAGCCCTCCATCCCTCAGCCCCGCGCGGGTCACCGCCCGCTGTAACATCTCCCCCGTCTCGTCCAGGGCGATCAGGAATCTCGCCAGCTCCGCGCACAGGTCCCAGTCGTTCTTCTTCGACGCCAGGTACATCAGCCGGACCACGTAGTCCTCGATCGGGGCGTCGTGGTCGTCCGCATCATCCTCGAAGGCTTGCAGCACCAGCAGATATCCCACGGCGGTCTTGAGGGACCCGAGCTTGAGGGCCTGCTCGAAGAGGTCCTTCGGCGACGGGAGGTAGGTGAACAAGGTGCGCCAGGAGCGCAACTCCGTCTTGCGCGTGCATTGGACCACCACGTCCAGGTACACCTTGGTGGGTAACGATGCTTGTAGGAAGGAGATGACTATCGGCAGCAGTGGCTCGTGTTTCAGGGAGGGGTCGTCGACCCTGCTGTCGCGGCTCTGGTTGTCGACCTCATCGTCCAGGACGTGGTGAAGGAGGATCTCGAGGGCGTGCGGAAAGTAGGATAGGTGGGAGAAGTGCTGGCACAGCGACAGCGCTGCAGGCATGTCGCGCTGTGTCAGACTGTGCTGAAGGAAGTACGGCAGGAAGAGGTGTGTCTACCAGAGTTAGTGCTGCACCGGCGTCGCATCTTGGGGGGTAGATACTCACTCGAATGGCGAACTTCAGCACGGAGAAGGTGACATCGCGTCGCTGGGTCATCTCGGCTTCCACACCAAGCACGATTCCCTTGTTCAGGAGAACAGACAGCGGATAAAAGTCCAGGGGTACCTCCAGGGGTTTGGATGCCTCTTCCCGCTGTAGAACGTCCTGCACATCTCCCCAGGCGATGAGCTCTTTCCCACAAAACGTCCATAGCGAGTCCCTCAACGAAAAGTCGCTGCGGTACATATTCAAGGCCATTTCAGCCGATGGACTTGCCGGGAGGGACTCGTCGACAGGCGCAAAGTTGAATGATAATTGATCTCGCATCAGGATATAGTATTCGACATCGTGGGATACCACCCGCATGTCGTATTTCAAATCGCTAGTCTCCGAGAAAGATGGCTGTAGTAGGACCAAGTTGCCATCAACCAAAAGAAGCACAGATGCCACCTTGACATCCTGGGAAGGGTCGCCGTTCCCTAATCGCTTCTTGTTAGATCTGGCTCTCGCAGGGTGCTGGCACACTTACGCATTTGGTCTTCGGGCAAAATCCAACTGATTGCCCGGACCCTGGTTGGCGCGCGCACAATCCCATGAAATGCAATCTGCCCAACGGGCACCAACGTTATTCGGGAGTGAGCTGAATTGATGATATAGTGATAAAGAATATTGTCGTATGTATAAACGAGCAGCGAGTCCTCGCCTGATGCTCCGACAAAGACTACTGGCGAAGGTAGGTATTCAATGTGTAGGATGGATTGATTGTTGAGAGGCATTTCCCGCGAGTACAACCGCAACTTCGCAGTCGATCAGTATAGCCGCGATGAGACATCGATGGCACACATACCTCGTAAGATCCGTCATTGTCAATGGCGGCGATCAGAATGTGTCCGTACCAGCACATGCCCCCGCGTACCGCGAAGGAATTCTCAATCTTGGGATCCTCGAACACTTTCCAACGTCCGCTGTTGACGCTGTAGTGTGCAAGCCCTCGTCTGCCCGCGATAGCTACATATCTCCCATCCTGTGAGACAACACTAGAGCGAATCGGCCACTGTGAGTGAAGGTAACTCGGAGGATATTGAGCATGATGCCACAGCGAGTCCTTCCCCGAAATGGTCATAAGATCGGGTAGATCATGGCCACGGTAGAGGATAACCTCGGTTCCAGTTTGCAGCAGACCTCTAGCCAGGTTCGCAGACGAATAACAGCCTGTCAAAGCGCTCCGTGCTGTCTCCAGAATCCACAAGCGACGGTCGTCCTGGCCTGTAAGTATGATTTCTGACCCTCCACCGATCCAACAACCGTGAGAAGTTCCAGTCACCCAGTTCTCGCCGTTTGAGTTAGCAAGAGATCGGTCCGCCGCAAAGCTACTCTCTCCCGACTTCCCAAAAACGCTCCATGTTGTCCAACCATGCTTATACCCAGCAAACAGGCAATAGCCGTCTGGCGAATAGCTCATAAATGTAACACTGCCCGTCGTGGTTGGCGAAGCCGGGAGTTGTAGTTTGTGCGATAGAGGAACATTGCCCAGGTAGTCCTTGGCTGTGTAGACTAGGATCTCTCCGTTGGCGCAGCTCACTGTGAGCAGAGAAAATCGTGCATTGACTACGACCTTGACGGCTCTCTCGCCATCATTTTTGGGGTCATGGAAGCAATGGCCTTGGAACAACTTCTTGGAGTCATCCGAGTCTTCTGCTGCGCGCTGCACGGCATACGCCTGTCCCTCGTTGGTGACCCATATCAGCAGGTTGATAGCACGATCATACACCATGTCCGTGATTGATGTGCGCTTTGAAACCTTCAGAATCCGACTAAGAAGTTCTGACTTGGTTTGCGAGCCGTCCGCATCCGGGTTCCAACGAATGCATTGGATGGCCGCAGGTTTGACAGTTGCGACAACGAGCTCATTATCAAGTGCAAGGGCCTTGGCGATTCCCGACTCTATCTTGATAGCCATTCGGAAGCGAATGTTGACATCTCGAACGCCAGTGGCCTCTTCCTCCGCGGCTAACCGAGCAAGCGTCTGGCGGCGGGTTGAAGTCGAGGTAGATTGATCAAAGAACTGTTGATATACACGGGTATTAGGGCTAACAGCTATGGTATAGGTAAGAAGATATCCGTTCAACGTCTGAGCAACAAGTATATTCGAGTCGGGATGCATCAAAAGGGCCACGTTGGGACCATAGTTCTCCAGCGAAGAGGCGGACCGAGCAACGGCAGCAACAACGGCGGTAGGCTATATTACCCGTCAACATGTGCGCTCTACCCAAGAAGATCAGCGCTGGCTTCACTTACTCTTGTTTGCCAAAGAGCAATCGACGAATTGGTCATCGTCGCAAACATATAACCACTCCGAGAGACACAAAGACCGGCAAGAGGCTCGTCAGCCCACCCCGTCTCCGCAATGGCCGGTTTGTCACGGGCATTTTCAGTGTTCAGCGCCTCCTCCTGTGCCGTAGGGCTATCGTAGTTCAGGGATTCGTCGTCGACAGAGGTGAGAACCGGTATTCCAGGGCCATTGATCGCGTAGACCCGGGGGACTCCATAGGGCCAGTACATGGCTCGGTGCAGGCGCGAGAGTCACGGAGTAGAGCAGCTTCACATCGAGTCATCTTCGATTGACGCTAGAACATTAGATTGCCGGACTCGAGACAGAGATTCCCCCGTATCTGCCGACCATGTCCGTTCAAGTAATTGTCCCGACTGCGCTGTAGATTTGATGGATTGGAGTACCGGAAGTTAATATGAGCTGGAGGGCAGTCGAGAGCACGGGGGCTATCACGTGCAGGGAAGCTCCCGAAGCAAACAAACCAAACAAGACTAAGGGCCCCCGCATCCTAAATTCCGCCTCCCCGCCGACTCTTTTGGCCAGCAAGATAATCTCATCCCCTTTCGCATTGATACCCAATCTGCTCACATCATGGTACGTGGGCTTCTTTAAGTGTTGAAACTGCATACAATCCCCCCCTCAACTTACTTTCTGACGTGTCTTATCATCTAGGCTCCTACCGAGTCCAAGAAGCGCTTGGCGCTTGCTATCATCGACTTCCTAGGTGCCAGCTTGAAGGATGGCACTCTCGGTGCCGATGACGCCGAATCCATCGAGATCGCCCAGTCCTGCATCGCGGATACGTTCAAGGTTGACCCCTCTGACGAGGCGGCTGTGAAGGATGCTCTTGGTGGACAGTCTCTGGCCAGCATCTACAGTGTCTATGAGAAACTGCGGAACAAGCCCGCTGCCGGCGGTGCTGCGACTGAAGAGAAGCCCCAGAGCGGCGCTCCCACTCCGGAATCCGACAAGCTGAAGTCGGAGGGAAACGCCGCCATGTCGCGCAAGGACTACAGCAGTGCGATTGACTTGTACACCCAGGCCCTGGCCATCGCCCCCTCAAACCCCATCTACCTCTCCAACCGGGCTGCTGCCTACTCCGCCGCCGGACAGCACGAGAAGGCGGTTGAGGACGCGGAGCTTGCCACTGCCGTCGACCCCAAGTACTCCAAGGCCTGGAGCCGTCTGGGTCTGGCTCGTTTCGACCTGGCCGACTACCACGGTGCCCTTGAGGCCTACGAGAAGGGCATCCAGGCTGAGGGTAATGGTGGCAGCGAGGCCATGAAGCGGGGTCTGGAGACCACCAAGAGAAAGATTGAGGAGTCGCAGCGCGGTGCGGAGCCCCCCTCTGACGCCGTTGATGATGCCGCTGGCGCATCTCGCGGTGCCGGCGGTATGCCCGATCTCTCTTCCCTCGCTAGTATGCTCGGAGGCGGTGGTGGTGGCGGCGCCGGCCGCGGCGGTATGCCCGATCTTAGCTCTATCATGAGCAACCCCATGTTCGCCAGCATGGCCCAGAACCTGATGAGCAACCCCGATGCGCTCAACAACCTCATGAGCAACCCCCAGCTCAGACAGATGGCTGAGAACTTTGGCCGCGGAGGTGGCATGCCCGATATGTCTTCTCTGATGAGTGACCCAAGCATTGCCGAGATGTAGGTTCTCACCCTATCATTGCTTAAAGTGGAC